ACTTTGACGAATCCGGACAGGGCGACCGACGATGTGAGAAATTTACCTACCTGTCACGGTGATTTATCACTGCACAAATTCGACGGCTCGACTATAGATATAGCAGCACCATTTCTGTCCACTATATTCCTCCGTTAAATTTAAAAGTATCAATTAATGCTAGATTTAAAATAGTATTTTAATATCATCCAGTAATGTCAATACCTTACGGCAATTAAGTAGCGGCATCGAAAATTTAAAACACGATGAACTATTTTTAAATTACAATAACATTTATGATACACTGTTGGAAATAATTCACGAGCGCACCCTATACAGGTGTCCCGTATCTTCCGCATCAGACCATTATATGGTTGTAGGATACATTATTCTGAAGCGATCTTTCTAATAAAATTTTTCCGAAATGTTTATAATAACCGCACGGGAACGGTTTATTATATATTATATATTATTTTAATAAATTTTAATAAATTTTTCCGAAATGTTTATAATAACCGCACGGGAACGGTTTTAGATCCTCCAATGGGGTGCACGTAAAGGCCAAAAAAGCCGAAAGAAACGCCTTCGGAGATCGTAAATCACACTCGGGCAGTCGGTCACACCCCCGGCCGGTCCGACGTACCGTTCGAAATCTAATTTCGCACGAGTTTATTTCACACATATTTATAGCAGGTAATTTATTGAATAATGGTAAATAAAAGACAAAGAAATCATCAATAAAAAATTTATTAAATAAGGTTTACGGGGAAATCGTGATTTATGTTTATGATTAAATTATTGTCTGTTGTATTTGGAATAAAAATGTACTAAATAGGGTCATTTCGCCTGTTCGCGTCCATTTTACGGATCTCCCTTTAAAAATCCTCGAATACAAGTAAACTAAAACACCAGTCAAACGAAAAGTCACTACCCCTAATACCTCAATGTATAAGAGGGGCGCACACATGGACAAAAGGTCCGTGCGGCAAAGCAATCCCGTTTAGAAGAAATAGTTAGTCTCGGCTGTTCATCAAGGGAGTGCGTACGTGCCAGATGTTTAGATAAAAAACAGTGTGCAGCGGCGCGTTCGAAGGTAAGTTTTTTATTGTTGTATGTGAATTTACGGATACATAGCTGTTTCTAGACTTTTATAATGAAAAAAGGAATAATATTAACAATGAATTTGCTTATGTTTTTTATGTTTAACGAATAAAATAAGGTGGACGCGAATTACTCCATCGAATTTACAAAACTTCCACTTTGCGTCCGCAATGGACGTAAACTATTCCAACAGTGGATATAATAAACCAAATTGCGTCCACTATTTTCGTTAAATACAATTGACTTGCTTGTAAAAATAATTTAAAATGTATTGATTATTATTATTGTACATTTTTTATTAAGATTACATGTGTATAATTCTATTTTTAAATGAAATGAGTAATTTCTTTCATTCTTATTTTTTTTTCCTATTTAAGATGAGTTCATCGGAGACAAGACAGAAGAAGGAAAAGAAAAAATACACAGAAGACGATTTAAAGAAAGCGATAAATGAAATTCGAGAGACGAATAAACCGATTAGACAAGTATGCAAAGAATATGGTATTCCCAAGACCACAATGTTGGACAAAATCAGTGGGCGCCGACCAGATGGAGTAAAGAAACCGGGACCAGAACCAGCGCTAGGAGTAGATGGTGAAAAAAAAGTTGTTGAATGGCTTCTTAACATTTCCAAATGTGGATTTCCAGTGAAAAAGCAGGAATTGTTGGATACTATTCAGAAAATAATTCGAGAAGGGGAGTTAAAAAATAATTTCAAAGATGATCGCCCAGGTCAAAAGTGGTTTGAAAAATTTTTGGCCAGGAATAAAGAAATTTCACTTAAAAATGCGGAGGGTATTAATAAAGCTAGAGCCCAAGTCACAGAAGAATCAATCAGATTGTGGTTTAGAGAATTAGAGGAATATTTGGGCAGTATACACCAAAAAGATATTTTGAGTGACCTGAAAAGAATTTTTAATGGGGACGAAATTGGTTTTGCACTCTGTCCAAAGACAGGAAAAGTTTTAGGTCCAAGAGGGTTCAAAAACTTATACCAAATAAAGCCAAGCAACGAAAAAGAAAACATAACGGTATTATTAACATGTAATGCGAATGGAGATATGTGTCCACCATGCATCGTGTTTCCATACATTAGACCACGAAGAGCTGTAGTAAATAGTATGCCTCAAGAATGGTGCTTAGGCAGATCGGAGACAGGTTGGATGAAAGGAGATATATTCTTTGAATACATCACCAACGAGTTTCACAACTGGGTAGTGGAAAATAACATAAAAAAACCAGTGCTTCTGGTAGATGGGCATAAATCGCATATGTCCTTAATTTTAAGCAAGATGTGTGAATAAATGGAAATTACTTTGTATGCCCTTCCGCCCAACACCACCCATATTTTACAGCCAGCTGACGTTAGCGTATTTGCACCTGTAAAAACATACTGGAAATCTACAGTCCGCGAATTCCTATCAAAACCAGAAAATTTCAATTCTGCCGTCACAAAAACAAACTTTTGTAAATTAAGTGATGCATTGAAACATCCTAACATACCCAATAACATAAAAAATAGATTTAAGCGATGTGGTCTTTACCCATTCGATGCCAATAGTCCAGATTACACTAAATGTGTAAGAAACACTTTGGAAAATGTTCAGGCCGTTAATCAACAGTCACAAGATAATGTTACCCACTCGGACATTAAAAGTTTTAAAAAAGTTTTGAAACACCTGAAGCCGACACTAAAAGAAAAAAATATTGACATTCGAACTATAACGAAAGCAGTCAATAGGTTGAAAAAGTCTCTCCCTGCAGAAGTAGGATTTGCAGAGATTTCTATCGAAACTGAATCTGAGAAGTCACATATGGAACTTTCAATAGAAAAAAATAGGAATATTTTAAATCCTATTGATCGCGAATTGGTTCCCACTAAAGAAACCACCATTTCTACATTTCACGAAGACGTTGAAAACAAAAGTGATGAAGCTAACTCCGATCCTACTGTACGGGTTCAAACAGTATCAGCCGAAATACATTCTGCACCAAAACAATTTATCGAACCTTGCACATCAAACATAACCACCAGCAATAGAACTCTAGCATCTTCTAAGATTGACTGCGATGAAATCACAGTATATCCAGATGAATATTCAACTCTTGACACCAACAAAAACGATTCGTTCCCTGACTTGTCCCTTTCGACGTTACATCTTTCTGGAAGTTACCTCGACGTCGGCTCTACGGTGTCCTTAGACGACTTTCTAATTCTACCATTACAAGATATTACATCAACTCACACCATATTAAGTGTTGAAAAAAAAACTCCCATCAAGGAACTAACTCCAGAACTACCTCTGACTTCATCAACAGCATCAACTGTATCGCTACCATCCTTTTTACCTACAGACTCTCTAGTACACCCAGCTTCAGCAGAAACGCAAAAGAAAACCTCTGATTCATTTAAACACCACCTGATGCTACCTGAAATTTCTAACAAAGCACGAAAAGAGAATCAAAGAACTCCAGCAGCCATATCTTCTGCTGCATGGAGAAAGTATTATGAAGATAAAGAGCAGATCAAGAGCGAAAAGCAGGAAGCAATACGAAAAAGAAAGTTAGAACGAATAGAGAAACAAGAACAGAAAAAGACTTTAAAACGCTCTGAAACGGTTCGTAAAACTGCTCCAAAATGAAAAAGTAAGATACATCCTATTCAAGAAGTCACACAGGAAACGGTAAATGAAGAATTTGATAAGGAAAATTTACCAGCCGTGGAGCGAGTGAAATGTTCTGAATGTGACGATATACTAATTTCAGATGTAGAAGACGATGATGAGAAAAACATAGGCTGTGACAAGTGTATTAGATGGTATCATCTGAAATGCACGCGATTTGTAGGATTAAGTTATTTAGAGGCCAAAGATAAGTCTTTTGAATGTGACCTGTGCAATTCATTGAAATTCTAAGGCTATAATAATCATACCTTGTCTCATAATTTTCTGATTCTACAATTCTTCTAGTTGTATGATTAGACAAAATTTTTGTAGTTTTGTTGCAATATAACCAAAAACTTAGTATTAATCAAGGCTGATTTTTAGCAATAATAATATACCTTGTGATACCTATTAGGGTAAAATGAACAGAACTGACTATTGTTTATTTTTAAAGGTGCAATCATTATTTACCTACCTACTTACCTAATTTTAAGTTCAATCAATGTTGAAAAGAATTGTGTTTATTTTTTTAAAGTGTTGTTTAATAATAATAATGTTGATTTTGAATATTAATATTCTTAAATAAAGAAATTGTTAAAATACAATCTTTCTTTACAAATTCTTAAAAATATCATCCCTATATTCCTTTTCTAAGCTGGTTGACGCTAAATGGTCCACGGGTGGACGTAATTTGGATTTTGTGGACGCAAAGTGGGTAAAACGCCTAATTCTGAAGTTTATCTATTTAAAAAAAACACAAGATGTTTCGAACAAAACTGAAAGTTAATCTTAAAATAGATTATATAATGAACACATTACATACATTCTTCATAGAAATTAGTGCTGGGATATTTTTATTATCGCCGTCAAACTTGCCAACTGCACTAAATGGACGCGAACAGGCGAAATGACCCTAAATAACACAATAATATTGAAAATTATTTATTTTGTTATCATATGAAATTAACGTTAATTAAGATGCCGTTCTAAAGTTTAAAGCACACACCATAAAGTTATGTTTATGATTGTGTAAAACTACAAGTTTTTATTATTTTATCGTATAACTTTATTTATGGCGATAAATGTGAAAAGAAAAATTGACAAATTGTTCGTTAAGATTTAATTTAAGTATTACCGATCTTATCTTAATCTTCATATTATTAAACAATGCCCAGTTTATGTATAAATTTAATAATTTATTGCAAGAATGAAATTACTTTCCAACGTAAGGTTTGATGATACGCAGGTAGAAATTAGACGACGTTCGCTCACGAAACGAGTTTTTTTTTTGTTTTTAAATAAATACGTAGTAATTGAATTGAACAATGTTAAAGGATAATGTGCTAAAACTTAGTAACATCCCAAAAAAAATTTATTAAACAAATCTGAAAATATCAAAATATTGTAGAACACTGACGATTGTCTAAATAATGTTTTAACAATTTCTTTGAAATAAAATGGATATAGTTAATGCAATCGCTTTGGTAATAAACAGTTACAATATCCAAACGAGTGATTCGAGGTCGAACTACAGTAATTGACAAACAATACAATAATTGTCGTACGATGCTGACAAAGCAGCGAAAAAAGATATAAATCGGTAAAAATTAAGTATTAAGTAAAAACAAAGAACTTAAATGTTTTATTCCAGAATTTAAATAAATATAAAAAAAATAAAATATTGTATGCAAATCGTTATCCTAATCGAAGATATCCTAATGCAAACGCTTTTGTGCAGTTAGATTTCCGATTGAGGACGGAAGGAAGATTAATTGCTCATCGCGAGGAAAGCAGACCAGATCATGATGTTCGCGATAATCAACAGTTTTAGATATACCAAAAACAACGATAAATAGAGTGCTATGCAATAATAACATATATCATTATGCGACTGTGGAGGAGTTACATCCAGGGAATGCGGAGATGCGCCTGGAGTTTTGTCACGAGTTGCTAAGACGCCATTATGCTGATGGAGTTGTTGACGAACTTAAGCGAGGAATGGTTGTAGGTATGCAGTGCATACTATGCACATTGAGGGTGTATCGTTTCGTGAAATTGCGCGTCGCCTCGAGCGGTTGTTATCGGCAGTGCAACGAGCATGGCGAGAATGGTCTGAGCCAGGACATACGCACCTTCAGCCGCGGCCGAGACGACCCCTCTCGACCACATCACGCGGGGATCGCGCCCTTGTGCTCAGCGCTTTAGCGTCGCGTACGTGGGCAACTTGGAGCTGTTTAGCCAGCGGGATGGGAATAGTGAGTGCACCACTACGCTAACTGTACGGCGGCGTTTAGTAAACAGTGGACTGCGATACAACAGTCGTGCGATACAGCGGATTCAACGAACACCCGAGCACCGCCGCATACGTCACGAGTGGGTCAACGCTAGACATTGGTGGGTTGCCGAGTGGAGGGACATTTTGTTTTCCGACGAATCAAGATTTGAATTGAGCACCGGTGACGCGCTAATTTTAGTTCGTCGGAGACGTGGTGAGCGTCTATTCGAGCAGTGCTTGCAAGAACGCCCTATCCACCGCCAACCGGACATTATGGTATGGGGTGGGATTACACATGGTGGACGTACACATCTGTTGCGTATACAGCAGACAATGACGTGCTACGACCCGTTGTGCTTCCCTACGTTCGGCGACGCCCACGCTTGCTATACATGCACGACAACGCCCGACCGCACATCGTGCGTGTTGTACAGACCTTTGTGGAAGAACACCGTATACGAATGCTTCCCTGGCTATGGAGGCGAGTTGAGGCGGCATGGTTGACCATTCCTCCCGCTACAATACAGCGACTTATCGACTCCATGCCACGTCGTGTAGCGATGGTACCCGCCGCTCAAGGAGGATACTCTCGCTATTGATGTATGCCCTCCCAGCAGAGGTGCGCCGCTCTCCATGTTGTGTTAGAATTTCATTGTGCTAGACACACGCGTTCAGATTATATAGGGTGTGCTCGTGAATTATTTCCAACAGTGTATTAATATTCATTCATTGATCGTCTATTTATGTTTATTCTGTGTATTAATTGCTATATTATGTTTCATTTTTCGTAACAAAATGAAATGTAATAAAATAAATGCTAAATTGTCAACCGAAACTGTGGATCCGCCCGACACAAGTGTCAATGAATCTTGTTTGGAAATGAGTATACTTAAATTTTATTGTTAAATTGATTCTGATATCGATTAACTTGAACGCATTATTTTACATGTCGTTCTGGGATTGGTCGATTGTATCGTCACGATCACGTGTCTGGAACGATTATAATGTAACATACAAAAAGGGTCAATTCAATTCTAAATTATCGATCATCATTAATTTTTCTATCAATTGTAATTAAGTACGTTACACGAAGTGTGCTGAGAAGAAGAGTGCTGGAAATAAAGTTAAAAATATTAATTAATAAAGTTAAAATTCATATATTTAGAAGAAAACTGTCTTTTATTTGGTTTGAGACAATAAAGATCCGTCAATATCCTTAAAAAAACGACGATTTTTTTTAACCGATGTGGTATTGAATAACACCTTAAAAATAAAAAAAATTGTCGGAAAAGAGTCAAACTTACCGAAAAATCACATTAAAATTTCGCTGTGACGTCATCAGCCATGCTAACCACATATCTCCGCA